CCTAGGAATAATGTATAAAGTATACTGTAATTACATATATAGATTAAACCTGTCCACACATTTTAACACTGAAACTCAAGATCAACACCAGAGAATGCAAACTGTATATTCTATTTTTAAAAGATTAATATAAACTCCAGAAATTCCTCATGATTGCTACGTTTCTAAGTAGCTGTAAAAAACAAACTATGCTTTCAATTACCCGAAAATGCCAAAAACTCTCCAAGTTTTATGTACTTGGGAATTTGATCAAATATTAATTGTTTCCTGTAACAGAATCAACATTTATGGTATAGCTGACAGATCTCCTGTTCAATTATTTTTCTTGTATGAACTTCACTCCCCAAAGATAAATTAACCTTATGATAATACCCATTTAGTATATTATATACATATATGCAGTCAAATATAAGCATTTCTGCCAAGTCAATCATCCTTCATTATTTTAGATATACAAACCAGACAGTAACTAGATCCAGAGCACATCAAAACAAGAAAACTTTAATATAATCTGTAAAGCACTTCACACAGAAAAACTCCTTTACAAAAGCCATACGACAAGCACTGAATGTCAAGAAGGCATGTGGTCGTTTTCGTCTGAACGCCTTACTAAAAATACATATGGATTTGGACAAAGCGGATCAATACTCTCTGTTCCACACCCCCGAGCTCAGGGGGTTCTCTTTATCAGCCGTAATTTCACAGCAATTTAAGAATGTACTGTGGAACTAAATGCTGTTCACCCCCTGCTTCTACCCGCAATCTACCGATGGAACCCCTGGCCCGGAATGCAAGATCAACCACAGAAATCAGAAGGTTCACAGTAGGGAGTGACAGACGGGAAGATATTGCAATTTGCAAATTACATTATATTACGCTAATCAGATGGCAAAAGGAACTCATTAGACTTAGCCGGAATACATTATGCGTTCTATCTCGCCCTCTTAGTGTAGAAGTCGATCTTGGGGAAAACATCAGCTAGTGGAGCCCGGAGCGGACGGTGGATGCACAATCGATGACATGAGGGGAATGAGAATGACACGGCCCCTTTAACGGTACAGCGGTACAGGGGCAGGCCTTTAACAACAGTCTGCCGCACGATGCACAACATAGATCTTGACTTGACCCGTGGTAACAGACTAACAAGTGGAATGTCTGTCAAAAATCAAAGTGTTGCTCAGGGTGTTGTAGGCCAATACTCAGACAGGTTGGTTAGACTGCGAATGCTTTTCACCGTATAAAAAATCTTTTTTAATAGAAAATATAAATGGGAAGCTAAATTATTATACAGAGAAATGAGAGCAAGATACTGATATTCAAGTGTTCAAAATAGTCTATCACACTGTAACATGTTTTTTTTTAATTACAAATTGAAAATTTGTGTGAAAAACAGAATAAGCTCGAGGGGGCTCACCCTGAAAACACAGAGTTTTGGTCTGTACATGATAGTTATGGGGTAGTGAGGTTTTATTGAAACAAAAATATAAGGAGTTAAAATAGGGTATGAGTGACTCAATGCTTTGGAGCAATGATCTCATTGGCTGTGAGAAAAACACCTTTTTGATTGGTTCAAACAAGTGAATGTTTGACTACTGATTCGCTAACAGGGTTCATGAGACTTGGTTTTAGCATAAATGAATTTTAGCATAGCCGGAAATTTGGTCCACGGGTTGGTGTTGCCACTCGAATAAACTTTCTCTATTTAGCTGGATGACTATACTCTTCTTGCACTAGCTTTGAATGGGTAACAATTTACTTCAACTATGTGTCATAAAGCCTACATAACACTGTCATAAGCATGAAACAACACCTGCCATAACCTGTCATAACAGTGTCTTAAAATGTATGACAGATGCGATTCACACTGTCATAATGCAATGTTATGGCAGATATTGAAAGAACGGCTTACATCACATGCTAAACTTAAGCACTGTTATGCCAATAAGAAGCAAGTCACTATCATGATGGCATGGCATATCAGGTCATGGCAGGTGTTATGGATGCATTGTGACACATATTTCAAGTGAAGCGCTACCCTTCAGATGACGTACAGTCCTATAACACAGCTGGTGGACTGAGGAGTGAAGCTAGAGACAGTTGGCAGTATGAGCTTCAGGGGAGAGCATGCGTGTCTGTCCTCTTCCAAACTGGCGAAGGATATCGCAGTCATGCGTCTACCTTCTACAATGGGTGACAAATAAAAACCAGGATAAAAACATCACATATCACACATAGTCTACATAACACGGATAGTCTATACTAGTCATGCCCAAAACTGAATGACCTGTTTTAGGGTTCTGAAAATTCTGGAAGCAAGCAAGTATAGAGCCTACTTAAAGCGCTGAACCAGCCAATTTAGAAAGCCTTTATATTTACGCACAACAAGAAGATTTACTCTTTACATATTTCACGGCTGGATTTCTAACTGCATCCTAGATTCCTGTGTGTGTATAAAGTTATGTGTTGAGACCAGCTTGGTTTGGAGGTAGTTTACTCAGTCCTTCCATTCTTTCTATTAATTACTGAGATACTACTACTGAATTGATTCATGACAAGAAACAAGGAAATCTGTATTGCTAATTAAATTCTCAATGCAAACATTAGGACACCAACTCTCTGTCCCTTTCTTAATTAAAAATACTTTTGGCAAATTTTTAATTTACTCCTATTGTCCTCCGATTTGTAATGCCCTTTTATATTTGTAAGTTGAGCAAATTGCCACGAACCACATTGTCACTTCAGGAGAGCACAGATAAACATGTGTTGTTTTCTGTTGTCAAAACGTTACATTAGCTGCTGCTTCTTTCACTCTGCTTGAATAGACACTAGTTGAGCTTGCACATACATTGAGTCTGAGGATTTCATTTGTAGCTTGTGCAGGAATCTATCTGACAAGATGGGGTGCCAGTCTGCTGCATGACAAAACACAGGAAAGGCCATACCCCGGACAATGGCACAACCAATCACGTGCCAGCCAGTAGAGCTGGCCACATCCCCCATTGGCTGATATTGTATTACAGATCACGGAGCCCAATCATACACTAGAACAGGGCCTTAAGAGAATAAGCTAACAAGTTTTGATCTTTGTAGGATCAGCAATTGATAAACCCGTTAGATGACATGCCTTAAATTTTTCCACCATTCTCTCCTTGTGTATGGTGCCATTTGATAGTTACCTATGGCATATACATTATCTTTGTGTTGACAGTTCAAAATCTGATTCAATGTATTTACAAACAGGATGAGCGACATGGGCTTTGAAGAGTATCTACAAAACTAAGTGTATTTGGGTATTATTAACACAAATTAGGCCCATTTACATATATACACAACAACATTTCTAAGGTAAATCATATAATGTCATTAATATCAATATATCTTTCATTTTTTATTCAACAGATAAATAAGTGTGTCATGTTAATTGTCTACAATACTTCTGAAAGATGATAGAATAAGACCCAATGAATAGAAGGGATCTTAGTCTGTAATAAAAGGCTGTAGAGGTTTGGGCTGAAGGTTATGTTCTCATGATCACCTACCCACTCAATGAAGCATTCACCAAAAACTGTACTGTGCAAAAAGGTCATTATACCCTCATACATTAATTTCGTACTCTTAGGTAGGGAGTTCATTATTATGGCCTTATAAAATGGCTTTGTGTCCCTTTTGGATACGTAATCTCACCTTGCATTAACGCCCAGTTGTTTGTCATGTATACATTTTGAATAGCAATCAGAGTTGCACACCTTCATTTTCAATGTGTTGATTTTGTCGCCAGCATTCTGCCCTGAAGTGCATCTTGAATGAATATGTCAGCATTATTTTCCTCCTCTTATTTTCTTGTTTTTAAGGCTTTCTAAGTGCTTAGCTCTAAGAAAAAGAGAAGCAGATAAATGTCAAAAGTACTAAATCTTTTGTCAGCTGAAAAAAAGGCTTCCCTCCCATTAGAATAGATTATGGGGTGGCTGTTTGGCACAGTTCTGGCGCTGTTTATTCCGGTCTTATGTGAGGATCTGCGACTCATCTTGGCGGGGGAAAGAAGCGCTAACTCTTCTACATCTGAGTGACGTTTCACTCTTTTACTTCCATTGGGATATGGGCAGGACAGTAAGAGCAAGCGCACACCTTGCAGTATTACTACTGTGGTACATTGTTTATGTTTTTATTATCAATTCTCTTTGGTTCATTTGCTATGGCAACAGAACGTGTGAGCAGGGACAGGAGGAAGACTGTATCAATTAAACTGGTCTCTCACTGAAGATCTACATGTGTGTAATATTGAGTTGTGTTGCAGTCCGGTGCTTATTAATGCTACTTTTTTAGAACTGCATCTTCTCCATATGTAACTTTTGTATGACTGTCAAGTATTTAAAGTCATTATGCATGCCAAGCAAGCCATAATATTTGAATATAAATATTTCTACAACTCCAAAAAAACTTGCTAAACTAACATTATCAGTGATATTTATTTCAAAGCAGGGACCACGTATTTCAGGTTAAGCATGAGATTGCAGTTATTACTGTAAAGTGGAATGCGTCAGAACCAAAAACACTCTGTGTGGTCAGAATCTTACATGCTGTAGGAACGGACGATGTGAACAGGGGTAATATTTAATCTAATTCAAAATCTATAGAACCGCAAGACTTTGTTAATTTGATTTTTTTTCCAGGCATCTAGAGGAAAGATGTTTGAGTACAAAATACCCTTTCCATTAAAAATATGTCAACGTTATTGCCGACAATGTCTCCTAGCAACTGTTACAATAGCCACTTTGACGTTCTTGTGCGTGGATGGACATCCGAGTCATTCCCCCATGCGTTGCACCAAATACAGCCTTGTCTCTTCCGTAATTGCTGCAGGTCTTGATAAATCACAGACGTTCATCAGCATTTATTGCTTCTCATCCACCCCCACAAACCATTAACACTTGTCCATTTTTTACAGTCTTATGACCTACATACTAATAATTTAAACAAACTATACCTTCCAGTAAGCTGCTACATTTTTAGCTTAATGGTTAGAGAACTAGGCTTGCAATCCCAAGGTCGTGGGTTCTATTCCCAGGGAGAGCACTTGCTGTCGTACCCCTGAGCAAGGGACTTCACCTGATTTGCTTCTGTAAATACCCAGCTCTGTAAATGGACAGTGTCATAAAAATTTAAACTCTGTCAGATGCCTTGGAGAAGAACAGCTGATACAGGCCTACAATGTTAATATAGGCAGGAGCTTTATGACTGGCAGCGACAGGTATGTACAGTTTGAGCCTTGAGAACAAAGACTTCTCCAACGGCAGAGTTAGGAGGATTATTGTGCAAAAGTTAGTTAAAGATTACAAGAAATACTGATGTTATACATTGGGTTCTTAAATACTAGTCTAATCACATTACTTTTGGAATGTTTGAATACATAACTTTATGTATTTTGCTACTTTCTGAATTTTGCTACTTGTAAATTAGAATATTATTAGGGGTCAAACAAAACATGCAAGACTCAAAAATAGGGTGTTTTTATTCTCTAAAGGATGTGCAAGTGTTTATATGTTGTTACAATGAGTATTATATGCCAGGAAATATCTTTGAAAATGAGATTTCATTTGTAATTACAAATTCTCAAAGTTCATTTGGCAACGTAATCAATCGCTATCCATCCCTGCCCACCAGCATGTATCCATAAACTGAATTTAAAAAATAAAAAATGTAAAAAAAGATCCTTTGGGCTCGACATCCACTGGAATTCCTCTCTACCCATCTCTTACGGTACATTTGTACGGCTGCCATTTTTTGTTTTTGTCAAATTATTTGAGTCTGCCTCCCAGTAAATAAACATCAGCAGCTGCTGTCATTGTAAGGGAGTACAACGACTAAGACTGGCATTAAAACTGAGAATGAGATACGCACACAAATTGCCAAAAAAGTATATATCATGCAAATGGAGAAAACACTATGGCCTTTGAATCCAGTGTTTTGTGTGCATTCAGTAGTGATGCAAGATAAGAAAGCTTTTATGTCAAAGTACTGTACATCATGAACAGTATGGCCCACCACAATGATATTTTAACAGCTTAACCGTTCTGTAATGCTTGCTGTAGGAAGGACAGGGGTTGGTTAGGTCTACACCGAACCCTTGTTAAGAGCGATACAGACTCAATTATTCAACACCCCCGTAAATTATTCAAGCCATGAGATTTTTGGTTTTTTTTTTTAAACTGCTATTCGGCTATCTTTAGATGAAGCCTCGATGTATGATTTTATTTTTATTTTTTTGCTTTTTCAGCTACTTATACCATATAGGAAGGAAGGCAGAGAGAGAAAGAGAGCGAGGTGGATTGCGAATTTACACAATAATGAGTATTTATTGAGGTCAGTACATAATATGCTTGGAAAGTGTGAAAAGTCACCAATGGGATTATATTCTTAATGGGAAAACAAGACTTAAAATGTCCCTTTAAAATCACCTAGGGTTTAATATCAAAGGGTTCTTTTTTTTTTTTTTTTAGAAAACACAGGAACATGGGGTGTGATTTAACACAACGTTACAAAATGTAAAACAATTAACAGGCAAATATCAGTGTTCAAATCTAGGGGAAGCACCCAAAACTGAGCATATACAATTCTGACAGGGTAGATATGTTGAATATGCCAAAAAAACTCAAGTTGGGACCCCTGATGTGGGGGGCAAACAAAAAGGCCATATACAATAGCGTTCTTCCACTAATACTCGGGTTAAAAAACGGTTGGATTAAAATGGTTTTAAGTGGGCCTACAACACTGGGTCATAAAATACACACACTCAAGATAAATTCACATGGTGGACACAAAGGATAAATAACCACAGACAATAACTAAAATTTAGAAATATCAACTCATTTGCTCAAAGGTGCTTCTTGCGCAAACTACACACAGTGACACCATAAAAGAATGAAAAACGTGAAACCGATTAAAGTGCAAATAAAAATATGGTCAATATGGTCGGCAAGATTTGCACTCCTCACTCGTTCTCATTTCGCAAGTTAATTACCAAGCGAGGTTTTACATGGCCAATATGTATTCGCAAACAAAATTCCCGCCTGGCAACCACAAACCCCATTAAGACAATAACAGTCCACAGCAATGACAACCTTTTTCCCAACAGACAAAGTAAATCCACCCCATAAGGCCTCTGCCATCTCGAGAGTGAATATAAAATATCGAACGTTAAAATAATTTGAACCTTTTGTTTTAAGATACTTTAAAATAGCGAAAGTTTGAAACACAGATGTGTTTCAGACTTCTCCAATGACCCACCGTTCTTTTAAAATGCAAACGTGATTCTTCTTAAAAGGACTAGGTAGCGGAGGAGGCGCATGTCCACTTTATTTACTCAGTTCACAGTTCGTAGGTACAAATCAGGAAAGTGTGTAGCCAGAAACCTGCATCACTTCACTTTTGGCGTCCCAATACAACTCTTCAACTTGCTCCTTCTCTCTACCACAGCTGTAGCTTAATAATATCCGGAATGTTTAACGTCTTTTACCTCCACATGAACAGTTGCACACACCTGTTAATCATTTGGGTGGTAGCAGAGGATGTATCAGGGTGACATGCAATTGTGACCGTCCAGAAACAACAACAACAAAAAAAATGCTACAATGAACATACATAATACACATCCAAAATAAAAGTGCAAACAGAACACATTTCTTCCACGGCTTAGAGGTCCAGATTATCTGTACAGGTTTTGCATTCTTGTGAATTAGCCAAGGTTACAAGCAGTTTCAGAATGACGTCCCAACATACAGGATGAGAACTGAAACATACTTAAGGCCAGTTTTATCAAAGCCTGTAGCATGTTAACATTATTGCGCATGTAATTTCAGTGACATTATCTGTGAACTACCTCAACCAATCGCATGCGCTCTTAGTCTTTTTTATACCAGCAAAACAGTTTAGTATGCACTACATGCTTCAGTAAATCCTCTTTAAGGACAAATATACTCTTGGTCAACCAAAACACACTCCACATCACAACGTAAGATATGTATTTGAGCGCTTTCTAATTTATTTGGAAATAAGCAAGCATGCCCCTTATGAAGTGTTCATTTCATTCAAAATGGAAAATCCTATGCCCTTAAAAGTTCATATGATTGGGTCATGGCAAATTTTTGCATCGTATGGAGTTGAGTTGCACGCTAGCTGAAGAGACCTCATTCTCACAGGAGAACTCTTAAGTTCTGAAGAGGCAGAAGAAGAACTGAAAAGTATTTTCCTGATTCATTACACAAAGTTCTAAAACTCTGATTATCAGCAAAAACATCTACTCTATTTTCATAAAATAATGCAGAGTAGAAATCCATTTTCCTTTTAATAAAAAAACACAAGGGATTCTGTTTCCTTACTAACCTTAATGGAAACTGTTCATTTCTACATATACACACAGAAATGAATAAAGTTTGGAACAATAGTTTATGTACTTCTTTCAAATGGTGAACTTTATACTTGTGTAATTGTTGATCTTAAGGCTATTTCTGATAACTTCTTTTTTTTCATATTTCCACACGATCACAGTTTAAGCCTAAGAAATTCTGCAATTGCTCATCAATATACTCAAATTATTTTAATTTTCTTACAAAGACTGAATGTTATCTCAAGCATTACATTTTTTATGGTATCTTAAGCTTAATAATTGTTCTGAGACTTCTGTAGTGCTGAAACCACATATTTTTATATTATGTTCATATTATGACCATTCTTGCTTGGATAATATCAAAAAGAGCAAAATAAGCAATTCTTATGTTTACCCGTTATTTTTGTTTTTGATAGAAATTGCTTGACAGAAACCTGGAGGGGGGGGAATCAATATGTATTCCTCTTTATGCCTTTTTTCTGAATTAATTGCTTTCATCTCACTCCTTTTATTTTCCCTTTCTCTGCTTCTCCGGGTCTTTTGCAAAGCGCATGGCACTTGGGGCCTTCCTGTAGTATTTATTTCCATAGCGCCGTTCCTCCTGCCGTCATCTGTCGAGATCGGAGAGGCGAGGTCCCCCTCCCAAATTATCCCTATTACTCTAAGGCTGCTCCAGTGTCAAACGGCTGGAGATTCAATCATATATCATTGTGCCAGGCTATTACCAGACAGAGCCTCAGAATCGCAGCCTAGGCCCCCGCCCCGGCCTGTCCCATCTGCCCCATTACAGACACGCCCCCGCCCCCCCGCACCGCACAATTAATATAGAAAGAAGGTGCCAAAAATAGTTTCATTGGTTCTTTACGACTAGAAGGAGGATTCGTTTGCATTTCGGGTTACCTGACTGAATTATAGTGGACTGATTTCCTTCACTTGTTTCCGCGAAATGTCTTTTTTTCTGGTTGTATTTGATCCAGTGAATTGATCATCATTAGTAATGGAAGAATGTAAGTGGCGACTGCTATCGGACTAAGCAACCCGGGGTCAGAAAAGGGGCTGAGGTACCTGAGTGGGACCCAGCAAGTTTGTGGTTCTAGTCCCCATGTAGCCGCGATACAACCAATGCAGCCGTCGGGTCCTGGAGCAAGGTTCATCAAAAGAACAAGGCAACGTACAAACGTCTAAATACTGCAGTCTAAAGCACATAATGATACTCTAACTGGAGTTTACAGCAAATCTCATAAATCTACAGCCATTTAATACACTTGCTGTACAATAAGAAGACAATGATTTCCCAAGAGCAAATGTCATACTCAGATCTCCATTTCTGCCTTTGCTGTCCCCCCTCCCTACCCCCCCCCACCGCAAACTTCATCCATACCACTCTGAATTCCAATCAGCCATACTTCCCATTCAAGTCTGTTTATCCTTGTGTTTGTCCTTGTTATCAAATGTTTATTTGTATCTTTTTGATGTGTTTCCTTCAGATTCTTTTTTTTCCCCCAAAATCAGACAGCTTCCGTGATTAACTTTTGTCAAAGTTTCTTTCATTTGATTAACTTGCAGCAGTGGCAGAGAACAGAGAGAGAGAGAGAGAGAACAGAGAAGAGAGAGAGAGAGGATGATGTAACGGCTTAGTTCCAGCAGATACAGCCATTAGACAAGCTTGGCATCTGATGCTAAATTTGAT